TTTTTTAATGGCACAATAAATAGGATATTTCCTGGCCTGCTCTGGGTTTCAAATAGGATTTTCACTTCCCCTTTGGCTTCTGAGTGTAAGGAGAGTAAGTGTCAAAACGCAGGCGCTTTCCCAATTTTAAAAGAGAGGGTGTAACCGTGTGTAATGTGAGTCTAGATTTTGATTGTAGGGATGATGAAATCAAATCCTTCCTTAATCCTTACTGGGAAACTGAGGTAAGTTTGCCTTCCTGATTTTGCTGACCCGTTAAAAACCTTTTGAAAAAGAAATGTGCTTTAGTGTCATCAAAAATGTCTCCCTACTTCACCCCAGAGTCTCAGAGGGTACTGGACCATTGTGCAGAGTAGCCTCAATGCAATGAAAATGGAAAGGAGGAGGAGAATGGGTAAACCCAGGTTTCCTGGAGAAAACACAGCGCTTTCGGATATGGAACCCTTTCCAGGGCTGCCTTTTTTAAGCTAGGTGCTTAGTCATTGTTAATGACAGTATATTTCTTTAAAGCTGCTGTATTTTGGAAATAACTGGAAATGAAACTTACTTTCCTTAGTCAAAATAATATAGAATTGTCTCCGTGCATTGCAGTCACTGTGTTGGTGTATTTTTGGAACAAGTGAGGAAGCTTATTCCAGTTATTTCATTTGTAGCAAAGCATTAGCTGGAACTTGAGAAGAGCTCCCTATTCATGGCATTCAGCTGTGCTGGGCAGTGGTTGGATGCTCTCAATATTACCTCTACTTTACAAAAGTACTTGACACAAACTCATCAGCAAGACTACCTCCCCCTTCCTTAACTGTGTTCCTTTATAATGTGTTCGTACATCCCCCAGTTGTGCACACAAATATCTTTGAAGTTTAATTAATTCATTAAAAATAGCTGAAGTATTTAAGGAGGAGTACCTTATAAATAGTGAAGGAGAATGTCTTGTTCGTTCTTGCCGTTACTCAGATAGAAACAAGGAGCTGGTATGATGGTGGAGGTTTCATGATGTGATTACACCGAATTCCAGGGCAGGACCTTGCATCAATTGGTGTGAAGTATCTAAATGGCTGGAGATGAAGTAGAAAAGGATTTTTATTTTTTTAGTAGGTGAACCAATGCAAGTAAGCTTGTGAGAAGCAATGGGAGCAGAAACTGATGTTTCTAAGATGGAGCACATTTATTCTCTAGAAATTCTGCCTCCACAAACTCCAGGCTATTCTATTGCTGAGGTCCACATTCATCACACCTGAATTCAGGCACTGATTGCTTTCAGTCAAAGTGAAAGGTGACCGGATCAGTCTTTTGGGTGTACATGCTGGCCTTGGCCTTAGGCATCTCAGTTAAAGTTCAGTGGGATAAGCATTAACCAGAATCTCACCTAGCAGATACTTCTGTCTGGTTTACTCTTCCACAGTCACTCTGGGGATTTGCCTTTTCAGATTAGGTTCTTCTCTGTAGGAAAAAAGTGGCTCTGAAACCCTTTCACAGCTTTAGGACTTACAGTGTTCTTTAAAAGCTATGTCCTTGATCCTAGTGCCTGCAAAGCCTCAAGCCTATCCCTAGGTGCAAACATTAAATCAGAAATATTTGGTGTTTCTGGCAGGGAGAGTGCATATATCATCAACTTCCTCCTTTTTATATGTAGTTGATCATTTTTGCTGTGCTTCAGGGAAGCTATGTGGAAAAGCTTTTGTGCTCATTTGTGAATAATAGCAGGGATAAATGGTGTTTCTCTAACTTGTCAATTTTTTGTTCTTTTCTTTCCATCCACTGTTTGATTTCTTGATGAAGGTATTATTTAATTCCTGCATTCTGAGCTTGGACAGAATACAATACAATAAACTTGTATTTGGGCACTAGTAGGGTGCTTTAAGCACGCTGTTTTTCTTTGAAGCTAAGAGTGACTAAGGCTGGGAAGTTCTCTTTTCTTCCTCATCTCCTCCTGGTAGTTAATATACTTCACAGGGGTCTCGAGACTCTCTGATAAGTCTCTGAAGTTATTACCTACTAAGGTTTTACTCTTTCTGAGTGCTGAACACTGAACTACTGACTGCTCTTAGAAGCAATGAGAAAGATTTCACAAAACCAACAGAGCCTTGACTATAATATCTGCAGAAAAAGAGCTGAATTTAATGAGTAATTTGTGTTGCTGGGGAGATTTTGACTCTGTTCCCTCCTCTGTCACCAGCTTGCCTTGTGATTTGTGGTAGCATTTTCAGTTATGCCAGTCACATGAGATCAAAAACCATGAGTCAGACACCACCCAAATCATGAGCCTGGCTTCCAGATCTCTTTGAACAGAGATCATACCATGCTTTTTCTTTAGTTTATCTTTCATTTCTGGAATTTCCTCTGTCTATTCCCAATATGTCTCTAGCAATTAATGTTTCCCACTCCTTTGGAAGTGTTGGGAAGATATTTTGACCGTTTGGGCTGTTGGAAGCCTCATTTGACCTGCACAATTAATTTTGGTTTTGATATCCAAGTGAATCTTATTTCTTCCAGACTTCACATCTTCCTCCTGTCCCCAATGACTTCTGCATCCCTTAGCCTCACATGACCCATCACTCCTGTTTCTTCCTTGCCATGCAGCTGCTCTGTTGCCCCTTTAGTCCTCTCTGGTAATGACAGGGTTTTTCACTATTGCCTTGCAGGATATAGAACAGGTAAAAAGATGCAGATCTGGGTAACCCTTAACCTTTGTAGGAGAACATATAATTGGAGACAGCAGGGAAATGGTCTCTCTAAATACCTTTCCTGAAAAAAAGATGTTACTTGCAGCATAAGATGTAGGTGATGCGGACAGGAGGGGGATCACCTCTATGAAGGATGGAGACCTGCAAGGAAGGCCAGAGCTTTGCATGTTGCTATGAGACATGACCTCTTTGCTCTCAAGGTGTTTGAAGAACTTGGCAAATCAGAGTTTTACACTCTGAAGGGAATCAGGTGAAGAATGAATAGGAATCAATGAATTTACAAGCCAAAGTAAATACAGAGCATGTAAGATGAGAATCGTTTGTTTGGTCTGCAGTCTTTAGCCCTCTAATTCAGTAGTTGATCTGTTTTTCTTCAGATTTTAGGTTTATAATATATTGTTCAGACTCACTTAGCCAGCTCCATTATGAAGGATATGATTATGATTTGAGATGGTGAAAAAGCCAAAGAGAAATTTGGTGTTGTATTGTTGTATTTTCTCCTATAGCATTTGCCTCTTTTCAGGAAGGGTAAGAAGTTAAAAGTTCTTGGCAATGGTTTAACAAGCCAAATCAATGAATATGACTTTGCAGTAATTACTGCATGCAATACAGTTGTGCCTGATATTCCCATTGTAACATTGTCATTGTTTTGCCATGAGATTTGAAGATCAGAGCTAACTAACTAGAGAAATTTTGCAGAACTATGCTAACCACACCTCAGGCAGATGGGAAAATGCATATTCTTTTGCTCATCCTCACGCCATATCACTCTTTCACCCCATTGTTTGCTGATTCTTGAATGTGCCATGTGCAAGGCATATTGCAGATCCATAATTCTGTGTAAAAATACAGCCAAACTGTACCCCCATATCCAAATACCCCTAGAATCTGTGTGCTTAAAACCAGTCTTAACTCAGAGAAAAACTCTTTACATATCCCTAAACTTCACAGCGGGTTGTCTCCAAGCCTTGATTGCACAGTCTCTCTGTGTTTTGGTGGGTAGGAGTTGTGGAATTTGTTTTAAACCCAGAATCATCAAGAGCTATGTTCAAGACATGAGGAAGATTCCTGATGCCATCCAGAAAATCTCTCAGCTAAACATTTCAGATGCAAGGCCTGAATCGGTAGCAACTGGACACATCTCAAAGTGCTTCTTGTTGTGCTGTGAATGTTTCATAGAACTGCAATAATTAGAAATGATTCTTTCCTTAAGACAGACAAATGCTACCTCGCAGCTTGAATATTAACAAGATAAAGTTTATGAGAGCAAGCAGAGTAATATAATATTTTCTCCAAAGGAAAAGGGCATCTATTTGCTTAGCTCTTTCATCAGCCGTTTTCAGACACGCACAGTGTGCATAAAATACAGTTATGCAACCCGTGTGGTTCAACAACGGAAGGTTGGTTGCTTCACCAGGATTAAAAGAATCTTTTAAACACAATGGTACCACAAATTAAAATGGAAATCTATCAAAACCATTATCGTCCTGAAAACTTTGGCCACAAGCATAATTATTGTAGAAGGATGTTGTCCTTGGACGCAGCTCTGGCTCAGTTCAGCTGGTGTTATTTGTATCCCTTCATGGCTCAAAGTCAAGATTTGCATGGCTAAGGACCATAAATTTTCACAGGAAAAAAATAGGCTGTTTCCTCAATGCTAACACTAGCATTTTTTTATTGTTTTGTAGTGGTTTGTAAGCAGCTCATTAGATACTAGAGGTAGGAACGGACTGAAGGTGGTGGCTGAAATCTGCTTTGAACCTTGGAAGGATTCAAATAGAGATTTTGTGTAGATCTGGTTGTTTGTGTCTGAGGCTGTTGCTTTACTGATATGAACAAGAATGAGTGAATGTCCAGAGTGCTTGGGTTTAAATTTAAATCTAAAAGTTCGCATTTTGGACCATAATACAGTGAAACAGACCTTGAGCTGATACAAGCTGCAGTCCACAGTATTAAACAGAGCAGAAAACCTGTCCTGAATTTTCTAGCATGTCCACAAGGTGGGCAGTCCTGTAGGGATGTGAGTAATTCAGAGAATATATTCTCCTGGATACTGCTTGCCATCAGCAAGGGACACATCTCCTTTACCCAGAGCTCCCCTCAAGAGAAACTTCAGGCGACTTTCTCAAGCTCTTGATGATGGCCAAATCCTGGAGTAACTCCATTTTTGTGCTGATGATAAACTGTATTAAATAGCAGGCACTGATGGTTATTTTTAAAGTGGTTATTTTTCTTTCAACATCCAATTTTCCATCTTGAGGGAGGTAAGTGATTAACAAGTCTGAAATCTGTTTTTCTTCTCTTTCCATCCCTCAGGCTGGGATAGATGGAGAAAGCATTGGGAACTGCCCATTCTCCCAGCGTCTCTTCATGATCCTCTGGCTCAAAGGAGTTGTGTTCAACGTCACCACTGTTGATCTGAAAAGGTACAAATCATTCAGTTTAATTGAAAATAGTTATATGATCCAGTGTTTTGCCTATAGAAAGGCCCTCCCAGGTTCAATCAGATTGGTATCTAGCCTAGAGAGTCTGTGGTACACAATAAAATAGTTGGGATTCAGGCTGGGTTGTTGGTTCTTTTTTTTTTTCATTTGTGGAATGTTTTTATATTAAACAGGGCACTTGGGGTAGTTTCAAAGTCTTCTAACCACAAACTGGATTAAAAAAAAAAAAAAAAAAAGGCAAACACCAGAAAGACAAACTGATTTTTTAGGATCTATACATGTCTGTGCAAATACTTGGCCATAAAGATTAGTGATTTCATGACTTTTTCTGTCTCTGCAGAAAGCCAGCTGACCTACACAATCTGGCTCCTGGGACCCACCCACCTTTTTTGACTTTTAATGGAGAAGTCAAGACAGATGTTAACAAGATTGAGGAATTCTTGGAAGAGACTCTTGCACCTCCAAAGTAAGAACTTGTGATTTTTCTTTCAGTCAGTATTGCATTTCCTAGGAATGAAAGATGTCTTAAGAGGAGTTCCTAAAAAGCACTCCATCCTACAATCTTTACTTACAGGAGTAATATTTATTTATGAAACTTACTGGCTTCAGTGAGATGACTTCCATGTGTGAAGATTGCTTGTATGACTAATAACTGCAGAATGTTTTCTCTGTACACATTTCAGGATGCCCTTGTATGCAGAATTAAGGAGACCAATGCTAGAAAAATTTTGTAGGGGTCTGCTGTCCACATTTCACAAAGCTAAAAATAGCTTGGAATAGATGTTGAGAATTGCCACACAAAAATATCTGTGCCAGGAAAAGCATTCTACAGTGAAAAACTGGAGGTTTCTGAGCTGTATGGTGTATTAGAAAGGTTGGAAGGGGAACTGATTACAGAGTACGAGAGGCTCTGGAGGCAGAAAAGTGCTTGTTATTCTAGTGAAGAAATGACAAGAGCCCATGACTGGAAGTTATAACCAAACTAATTCAGATTACAAAGGAGGCACAATTTTGTTCTGTATGAATGATTAACCATTGGAACAAGCTTCCAAAGAAAAATTTAGATATGCCAGGTACACCGTAGTTAGTCCAACGTTTTGGACTTCATACAAGGATAATGCGGGGAGAGGGGAGGGAGGGAAGGGAATTGCTGGCTTGTGATCTGGACTTTAAAATCTATGAATCAATGAAAATTGGCTTGGCTCCTCTCAGGGTGTTTTACCTCAAAGTGAATCAGCAGCTATAGGCCAGTCCTGAGGCAAGAGATCAGATATTTAAATTTTCTATACTCTGTTCCAGGACCACTGAAGGCACTAGGAGTCATTCGTTTGTGTTGGTCTTTCAAATAGATGTATTCCTTTGTGCCAGATGTCTATAAAAAACAATTCAGGGACTGAAAATTTTATGTTCCTTCACCTGGGTAACACTAATATGCCTCGCTATTACATTCTGGAGTACATTTTCAGTATAAGGAATTAGACACGACTGACATTCATAATGGAGAGAGCTGGCTGCCAAACTTGCCTGCACCTTTCTGGAAATGTATGCTTCCTTCTGATTTAAGGCCACTGTATCTTGGATTGTGGTAACATAAAGCACCAGCGCAATTACCTTTGTGATGAAGCCATCCCTCTGTAACTATGCAAACGCCTGCCTTGACAGACACAGTTATTATTAAGAGGGACTTGCCAAGCTGCTGTTTCAAGAGAAATGACAGTGTTAATTGCAGTTCCTCGTACAGGGCTTTTTTCTTTCTTCTTGCAAATTGTATTTGTAATCATCATTATGTTGCTGGTAACAAGATGTCATTCTCCACACTGCTTCTCTCTTTTTAGGTACCCCAAGCTGGCTGCCAAGCACCGGGAATCAAACACTGCTGGAATTGATATCTTTTCCAAATTTTCTGCATACATCAAAAACACCAAGCAGCAGGATAATGCTGGTGAGTAGGTTCATTATTAAATGTGCCAGGGAGTTTGTGTGCTTAGATGTGTAATAATTTTGCCATTCTTCCATAGTTTTATTGTAAACTTTGTTCACATGACATCAGGTACTGCTACTGACCACTTTGAGATGATTGGTTCACTGGACTCAATTCACATGTCCATCCACGCTTGAATTAACTACATCTATAATAATAAATAAAACAGGCTGCAGAATACTTAGTAGTGCCTTTACCAACTGTCATGGCACAGCTCCTGTCCACAGAGCCAGCTTCTCCTCCAGAACAGGATCCCATACTGCTTACCAGAAGTGCCTCGTGGTCTGACCGCCTCCTCTACTCTGCCCAGGCACCTCTTAGAGGAACATGTGTTGACTGGGTTTAAAACTGTGCTAGTACTGAAAGTTTAGTAGTGAATGACTGGGTGAGAGCAGCTCATGCCCTGAACCTTCATAATTGGTTGGATCTAGCCATCATACTCTTGGCTCACTTAGGATTATGTTACACTGTTATAGCTAATTTGCTCATGTAAACTGACTTACAGCAAGACATTAAATGTAAAATAAATAAATCAAAGAAGTGGCTTTAATAATTGTAATTTGCACTCTGTAAGCTTCAGACTTTTCCTCACGTGTGTGTGTGTCAAAAGAAAGAACTCCCCAGAAGCTGGATGCCATGCATATTTATGTGCATCCTACACTGTCTTCTTAATGAAACTGCTTTTATTCTTCATATTCCCCCTGGAAAGGCAAGACTTCAGCTAGTTTAAGCTCCTCTTCCTGGGTGAAAGCTAATGGATTTACACTGCTATATCCCTTGAAATGATCTAAAAGAATACTTGCAGCTACTCACTGATGTACATCTTACTGTATATTACTAATTTCACAGACAGACCTAAGGCGTGTTAAATACCATGTGCTTGTATTGTATCATTCAGAGAAGACTAGATTTTTTCAGATTCCAGCTTTGCCACAGTTTTCATCTGTGTGATTATGTTTCATTGCCTGGGGCTGACCCATGAGATGAAAATGGGTAAATGATGGTTTATGTCAGATAACAATCTGCTCCTTAATATTTTTGTGTTGTTAACAGAAGGAAATAATTATAGTGCTTCACTTCTCAGGGATGCTAAAAAGTTGTGTTTTTTTGTCTAATGCTAATGGGATGCTCAGCTAACCTCTGTAGGAATTTGTAAAAGAAAGATAAATGAAGAGTTAGACTAAATAGATGTTACAGCAAAAATAAAATATCTTGGCTATTTAAAACAAATTTTTTATGGTCTGCTCTGCAACTGTAAATCTTAAATTCATCTGCGCTGCCCTTTGCATTCTAAAACAGCCACAGGTATCTGTCCACATGCATAACCCCAATGTGTTGCTTCTAGTGACTCTGCAACATGCAAATCTGGACTCATAAGGGCTGGCATTTCCAGCCAGTAATAAATGGTATCTGCATCCGGTTGTAACCAGAGCTAGAATTCAAGGTTATATATCTGCTCCTGTAAGATAATGAATCTAACTCTGCAAAGTGCTCATGACCAGGTCTGCACATTTTTACTAGCTGCAGTGTGATTAATGTGAACTTTCCCTAGTTCTGCCCAGCAGACTCTTGGTTTAGGTACTCTTAAAAATGAAAGGAAAATGCTTCCCAGTGGCAATTATGCACACTAAGGCTATAGGGAAGAGGTGTTAAGTGGCAGTAGAACAACAATCTTTGTTTCCTTCAAACATCCTCACTCCTTTTTGTTATCTGGCTTGTGATCTTGTGATATCCAGACACACTGCAATCTCTAAACACACTGATACTCAACTTCCCTGTTTGAAGCAGAGGAAAATTTTTAGCTTAAGTTTTTACAGCTGGAGTGCTGCAGTGCAAGGAGAATAAAGCAGAGATGAGCAGAGTATAAGTAGTACCTACATGCTTTTTCTATCAACAGAGTAAAGTACCTGAAGACCTTGGAGTCCTTGGGACTATCAGTGCAGACTTATGCCATAGAATCATAGAAAGGTTAGGGTTGGAAAGGACCTTAAGATCATCTAGTCCCCCCGCCCCCGCCATAGGCATGCAGGAAGTAGATCTCAGTTTTGGAAAACTGACTTTCAGTTTTCAAGGGCTAAGCAGTAATAGATTTTCCCTTATCTCAGGGATATCTTACCCACTTTCTTATCCAGTTCTTCTGAACCTACAGCAGTTATTCTGAAGGCTGATTTGGATGGCAGATGAGTTAATGTGTTAGATTTCTTGAGCAGTGAAAAGACTACGCAAAAGGAAAGGACAACACCACTGGATGCCTATTTCCTAATGAACTTATTGCTTTTTGACTGGCATTTTTTAAAATTGCAAGGGTATTTTTATTTTTAAATTGCAAGACCAATTAGAAAGGGGTCCAGGGCTCTAGCCCTACTCTGATGCATGTCATTTTGCAGAATGTTCTCATGCATTATCGTTTCTATATAACAATAGGAATAGTTGTATATAGATCTGTAATAATAGAAAGCATTTTATAAATATAAAATGTGTTTATGTACATGAATGTCCCTTTCCCTGTGTCCATATGAACAGGTGACATCCAAAAAGAACAGAGATTGCTGCTTGTGGTTAATCTTAAACTGTTCCCATATACCCTAGCTCTCAGAAAAAGGTAATGCATGTAATACATGTCTCACAGTCACCCTCTGATCAGCTCGTAATTCCAGCTGACTCAAGTTCTTGTGTTAATCTGGAAAGCCATGCCAGTGACTGGGACAGCAGTTCTGCATGATCAAAATGCACAAATAGAATAAGACTTGTTAATAAATCAAGAATAGAAAGCAGAACACAGACTGTTATAAAAATACAATCGTAATTTATTTTAGTTGGGAACAGGGGAGTGCTGACTACCAAGTAGGTTAAATCACCAAACATCAGGTTCTTTAAATTATGTTCTCTTATACTGGGAGTCAGGGAGGTGAATTCATTAAAGTGTGGGAGATCAGACTGGGAATTTGTAGCATCAGCCTATCTGTAGCTGTGAGAAGTGTGAGTTAAGTGTAATTATGTATGGTAATTCTTCATAGCATACTGGTTTAGCAGCGATCGTGCGGTCTGTGTAACATGAGCTCTCACTACAGCCTGTGGCTATTACCCCTTTGCTGAAAAGTAGCAAGAAGTGGTTGGGATAATGAATGAGATTTATGCAGTATGAGAATACTGGATCTGAGAATTAATGAGAACTTAATGCATGCTAAAGATAAGACCAAGGCGGTGTTCCTCCCAAGACAGTTTACAGTCAGGGTCATGCAACACTTTCAGACTTCAAATGATTCCAACACTTAGCCATGTCATTGCAGTATTCCCTATCCTGAGAGAGGTGGTAAGGTGGCACAGGTAACAGAGTCTGCAGCCTTTAATTAGTTAAATGATTTCTGTGTTTGGTTTTTGTTTTTTTTTTCTGGTAGTGCGAAAGTTACAGAAGAAAACAAGATTTGTAATTTTTTGGTTTAGTGAATGTCTGATTTTTTTGCCTGTAAAGGATAAGATGCAATGATGCATATATATCTGTTTCTAAGATTGTGATACCCTCTGCTGGCAAATATGTGAATACATAAAGGAAGCAGCTTTACAATTGGGGCTGAAACATCCCCTTAACAAAATAGGTTTCCTTTTATCAAGACAATTTCCTCTTATAAATGCAACATCATCAAAAGAAAAGTGTTTCACAGTAACCTATCAATTTTGACAAAGTTTTCATGGAAAAAGAAAATCTTGTTTATTCTGGATGGGTTAAAATTACTTTGAGGTAAAATGCTTTAATGTTACAAAGAAAAACAGCATTTTTATTTCTCTGGATTCATGCAGTACTTCATTAGCCACACACCATTATGTTTTATGTCTGGCACAGAAGCAGGTGATAACCTTCTCTGTAAGTCTGTAAGGCAATATGTTATTGATCATGATTCATTTACTTACCAAAGGCATTTGGCAGCCAGGCTGCCCTGATTTAATAGTTCCCTGAATTTCTGATTATTTTTTTCCATCTTTGTTTTCCTAACTTTTCTGTCTTATAATATAAAAACGTTAAAAGGCTTGGAACAGGCTGGCTAGGGCTGTAAGCCCAGAAGCAAACATGCTCATGCCATATCAAAGTCCCACCACTTTTAAGCTTCTTGAAAGGGAAGGAATTGATTCCAGATTCTCAGGATGTGGCAAGCTGTGTTTAAAGAAAGTGTGTGCATTTATTATTTCAAGTCACTTCAATTACAACAGGCTTGATTCCTTCCACCCCCCGTGTCACTTGATAATTTTATAACAGGCCTCTCTGAAGGAGTCATCTCCTCATTGCAGGATTAGATCCACACCTCACTTCAGCGGCACAACTGAGTTACTCAGTTCTCCAGACGTCGCCACCAGGCTTCACTGCTTGTACTTGAAATGACAAGTACTCATCCACACAAGAGCAGGGGTCCTTGGGAGAGTTTAGTGTCAGTCATCTTAAAAACTGTTTCCTGGATGCTGTTGCTCAAGTTTTCATGGCCAATTTGAGGGTTTTTGGTTGCTTAGCAATTGTTTAATATCTAGAAAGCAATCTTGTTTGAGCACAGGAAAGTAAACAAGCATCTTGTGTGTTTACTTTGGTTCCTTTGCTTGATGTTAGGCAAGTCATTCAAGCTTTGTACAGTAACCAGGGTAGCAACAATGTATGTATTCATTGGAGGAGGATGAAATTTTATTAATTGGAATGCTGTGTACATATTTGGTATCCTGCTTATTATTTTTTCTTGTGAGACTGTATACTGCAAACCAAGGGGACAACCTATAGTAACCACCTATTAACTGTCCCGCCTAAAATTGTAAGTTCTTTGGCTCATAGAATGAGCCCTTTGATTTCATTTATGAGTTTAAAAAGTTGTTCTTGAATTGAGTTCTTAGGGGGCACCAGCTCCAGTGTGGGTGGGCGCATTCATTAGTGGTACGGAAGGATATTTGACTGTATGGCTCTTCAGAAGGCGCTGAGCTGGGAG